ATTGGGCCTGTAGCATGCTGGGATGAAGGATTACCATGTTAGTTCAAATGAATGACCTTGATCCACTTTCAACCTAATGTCCTTGTTCGACAATCAAGGTCAGAGGCGTCATATGTTTAAATCTTTTAATAGGTTCTTATGAAATCTTAAGATTACAAGTGTTAGATTAATAACAGGTGAGCGATGCAGGCCCATTGGGCCTCTTGTTATATGGTGTATTTGTCGTTATTTTATTTTGGGAGTTCAATTAAGTATTTGCACTTTTTTAAATAATGCCAGTCACATACAATGTTACATTTGTAAGAAGGTTTCCCTTCAGAAACCACTCTCACCGTTTATGTCGTGCGGGGTTTTGTAACTGTTGTTGTATATTGTGTATCTGACAGAGATGAACATCATGTGGGCAGGTCACCAGACCCATCACAGCTCAGAGGATTACAACCTGGGTACCGCTCTACGACAATCCGCTGTCCACAGATATTTCAATTGGGTAATACAAATATTTAGTACAAACACTTGGGAAAATCCACCCAGCTATGATAGACTGTTGTTCCATAAGACATTAGAGATTAATAGAATCTGTCACCTCAAGGAGGTGAATGATTCTTGTTCTCTTACTCTGTTCACCCATTGTGTATCATATATACATAATGTAATGTTAACTTTACAGGCTAAATGCATGGTTGAGAGACATTGATTCATTGTTGAGGTGACGCCATTGCATTGTTTACGTAATGTCACACAATTGTTATGAATATGAAATGTTATGAAGTGACGTTGATGGATTGTTGACGTGACGTCATTGTATTGCTGAAGTGACGTCATACCATTGTTATGAATAGGGGAATCTCATCCTCTCAACCCTAGGGTGAGACAAAGATTTCTCTTACCCTGGACAGGTGTATCCGCACTTTTACCGGTGTGAGATTTTCCTTGTCTCACCCTAGGGTTGAGACAGGGGGTGTCCCCTATTCATAACAATGGTATGACGTCACTTCAGCAATACAATGACGTCACGTCAACAATCCATCAACGTCACGTCAACCCTGAATTAAGCATGTAATGTTATCATTACATTGTGAATATGATACACAATGGGAGAACAGGGTTGAAAAAAGAATCATTTACCCCCTTGTTGGTGAGATAGAGGAAGATTCTTCCCTATCTCATCCCCAAGGGGGTAAGAGAATCTATTAATCTCACACTGGGAAAAGTGTGGATACACCTGTCCAGGGTAAGAGAATCTATTAATCTCACACTGGGAAAAGTGTGGATACTCATGTCCAGGGTAAGAGAAATCAATATGAACTTTCATGAAGGAATTCAAAGACAAATCAATTAATATTGTAAACATTGAACACTTTCCATTGCTCATTATACTCTGGCACAGGTTTCTCAAGCCCCTTTTGCTTTATTTAAGACTTTCATTTAAATTAAGAATTCCTTTCCTTTGGAAAATTTAAGAAAAGAAAAAGATCTCAGCTAAGATATTTGAGAAACAGATACATGTATTGGAAAGACCACACATTCCTGATCAAGTCTGATTGCCTATGAAAGTATTAGGAATAAAGATGTAAAATAACTAAAGAAAAAGGTTAGGTAATACTGGTTATTGTTACTACCTTGTTTTCACACATTGTACTTTGTGTTTTGGAGTTATTTACCTGTTTCAGACATTGTACTTTGTGTTTTGGAGTTATTTACTTGTTTCAGACATTGTACTTTGTGTTTTGGAGTTATTTGCCTGTTTCAGACATTGTACTTTGTGTTTTGGAGTTATTTACCTGTTTCAGACATTGTACTTTGTGTTTTGGAGTTATTTATTGTTTCAGACATTGTACTTTGTGTTTTGGAGTTATTTACCAGTTCCAGACATTGTACTTTGTGTTTTGGAGTTATTAACTTGTTTCAGACATTGTACTTTGTGTTTTGGAGTTATTTACCTGTTTCACCAATTGCACTTTGTGTTTTGGAGTTATTTACCTGTTTCACCCATTTTATGTTGTATACAGACATGTGTTTACCTTAACAGGTGATCTACTTGCCGCTGGCCTTAATTATGCCTCCTTCAGTCTTTCTTGTCCACATCCAATTAAACCTTCTCTACCAGTTCTGGATCCACACAGAGGTAAAGTCAATGCAAGGATTAACTGGTAGTATTAAAAGGAAACTGAAGATGTAAAGTTAATGGTTAAATGAGGATGAAGTATTAACTGCTATGGTAAGGATGAATGCATAAACTGAGGATTAACTGAGGGTACAAGGTTCACTGAGGATCTTAGGGTTAATTGAGGATGTTAAGGTTAACTGACAATTTTAGTGTTAAGGTTAACTGAGGGTATAAAGTTAACTGACAATGTTAGAGTTAACTGAGGATGTTAGGGCTAATTGAGGGTGTTAGGGCTAATTGAGGGTGTTAGGGCTAATTGAGGGTGTTGGGGTTAATTGAGGATGTTAGAGTTATTTAACTGGGGCTGTTGGGATAAAATGAAGGTGTTAGGGTTAACTAGGGATGTTAGGGTTAAATGAGATTATAAAGTTAATTGCTGTTAGAGTTAACTAAGGGTGTTATGGTTAACTGAGGGTATTAGGGTTAACTGAGGGTGTTGTGGTTAACTGATGATGTAAGGGTTAATTAAGGGTATTAATGTTAAATGGGGGTATAAAGTTAACTGAGGGTGTTAGGGTTAACTGAGGGTGTTGTGATTAACTGATGATGTAAGGGTTAATTAAGGGTAATAATATTAAATGGGGGTATAAAGTTAATTGAGGGTGTTAGAGTTAATTGAGGATGTTAAGGGTTTATTTAGGGTGTTAAGGTGAATTGAGGATGTGAATGGTTTATTTAGGGTGTTAAGGTAAATTGAGGATGTGAATGGTTTATTTAGGGTGTTAAGGTAAATTGAAGATGCTAAGGGTAACTGAAGGTATAAAATTAACTGATGATTTTAGGGTTTACTGTGTGTGTTATAGTTAACTGATGGTGTTAGGGTTTATTGAGGGTGTTAAGGTTAATTAAAGGTGTTAGGTTAACTGAGAGTACAAAGTTAACTGACAATGTTCGGGTAAATTGAGGGTGTTTAGGTTAATTGAGGGTGTTAGGGTTAATTAAGGGTGTTAAGGTTAACTGAAAGTATTAGGTAAACTGACAATGTAAGGGTTAATTGAAGATGATAATGTTAACTGAATTTTTATAGTTAACTGACTATGTTAAAGTTAACTGGGGTTGTTGGGGTTTATTGAGGGTGTTAGGATTATTGAGGGTGTTAAGGTTAACTGATGGTATAAAGTTAACTGAGGGTGTTAGGGTTAACGGAGGGTTTAAAGTTAACTGAGGGTGTTAGGGTTAACGGAGGGTTTAATTTTCACTGATGATGTTAGGGAGTAACTGAGTGTGATATTAAATGAGGGTGTTAAGGTTAACTGAAGGTATAAAGTTAACTGACAATGTTAAAGTTAACTGGGGTTGTTAGGGTTTATTGAGGGTATAATGTTGACTGATGATGTTAGGGAGTAACTGAGTGTGATATTAAATGAGGGTGTTAGTGTTAACCTAGGGTGTTAGGGGAAAATGAGGATGTCAAGGGGGTTAGCACATGTGCAATGAGGTTACATTGTGTATTAAAGGTAATTTGCATTTATTACCGATAAACAGAGGTCTTAGGGTTTTCTAAGTTCTTACATGACAACTATTGATGTAACAGTGTTACCATGATGTAGCATAAAAAGTATTTGAAGGTTAAGTGAGTGACACACATGCTAAAAAAATATGTATAATTATTATAGCATTAGACCTACATACTTTGATGTTTTTTGCACTGTTACCTGTCATAAGGAACTATCCATAGACTCAGTGTTAAAGGTGAATCTTAGAGTTATGATAAGAAAATTTGTCTGTGAGAATCATTTGACAAAATTTTCCCGTAAAGTATCCTAGATAAATACAGTCTCAAATAGTCTTTTAACAAGAAATGAGTGATTGCCAGCAGATGGAGTATAATACCCCAATACTTACTGTGGTTGTGTTCGTATTTTGATAAGACTGTCAGAAGTGTGGGCCCCTTGGAATGGATACTGAACACTCCGAGTCACCATCGTGTCCATCATGGCCGAAACCCCTACTGCATCGACAAAAATTACGGTGGTGTCCTCATCATATTTGACCGTTTGTTTGGTAAGTGTGACCTTTATGACAGGGAACTGTAAATCAGTAAATTCTTGTAAATGGCAATTAATCGGGGTCAAACTTTGTAATGCTCCACTTTGGGGAATTTAGGAAGTATCATATTTTCGGGAAAATTTTGAACTTAATGCCCACATAAATAACATGGTATCGCTAAAGTATTTGCCTCACAAAATGCAAGCAACTTAGTCTTTTAGTTGCTGATTAGTGGGTCCTTAGTCAAACATTGATGTACACATAAATCTTCCATCACAAGAAATATTCAATTTGCATTAATTTTTGGCTATTTTCCATGATCACCTAAAATAGAAAATAATTCTGATAGTTCAATGGACTTTGATATTTCATCTTGTTTGTGTACAGGGACATTCCAGGCTGAGGAAGAGAAAGTCATTTATGGACTTGTACATCCACTCCAGTCCTGGGACCCAATTAATGCACAGGTAACTACCCCCGGTAATATTAACAGAATTGTTTAAGTGCAGGTAAATTATTTTTTCTTCTGAATCTATCACAGATAAATTGTCTCACTGCTAATTAAGGTAATGTACTTGTAAATTTTCACATTTCTGTATTCCCAATGGTATCTTACCTTGTTGGGGGTGTTTATAACCAGTACTCTGTAAGTAGATTTTATGAAGAGCTAGAAAACAAAATGGTACACACTTTCATATATCTTTCCTGAAAAGTGAAAATCCATATAGAAGAAAATTATTTGCTTTTTACTTTTTTGCAAAATTAAAGAACACTTTACTTATTATACTACAGAATATGTTAAATATTATAAACATAAAGTCCTGTTATAATGTCTCATTTCTGAAGTAAATAAAAAGGAAATCAAGGGCAGATAATTTAACATTTGTTATGTCAGCTACATATTAAAGTAAAGAATTCAAAAAATTCAAAATCCAAGGAGTGAAAACCAGAAATATACTATAGAGATATACCAAGGTGAAAAACTTAAGTTATTTTTCATATTGAGTTATCAAACCAGAATATCAAGCATTATGAAGAAATTTCTTGATCTATGTCACTTAAAAAAATAAAGGAAAGGAGAATTGAAAAATTAGCTGCTTCAACCCAATGTCAGTATGCATTAGCTTTGTTAAGTATGCTTAATCCTCTGAAAAAAAATTACAAGTTTGAAGTAATACAATAATATAATGAGTTGTCTACCTTGATTTGTAGATCTGTCACTTGAAATACATGTTTAAAAAAGTTCAGGAGGAAAAGGGCTTCAGCAACAAGATGGGAGTCATCTTTAAAGGCCCTGGCTGGTCGCCAGGGAAACCGTGGACAGGTCTTATTGAGGATATCCCAGAGGTCTGTGTTCGTGTGACCATATACCTACTGGTGTTTGTAATAAATTAATATTACGCAACTTTATACGAGAATGAATTAGTTTTGTACTATATTTAGTGCAATATATTTTTCTTTCTTGTCAACCTTTCGTCAAATTTGTATGGGGAAACTGTGACAAAATTTGAAAACTTTAAATTATAGTACTTTCAACAACCTATTTGACATACAAATCCCGTCATATGCAATATTTGAAACTGTTTACAGTAACTAAGTTTGGGCAAAAATATTCAAAATCTAGAAATAATGGTCAGAAATCGGAAGTCTCCAAAAGTATTTGAGATATTAGGCAGGCATGTCTTTCATATGGATGAAATGAGAACAGGATAATATTTTAAGAAATAAACATTTCATTGTTAAAGTAAAGACTTGTCGTGCTCTAATAGTGGAGATCTTGGTGATTTTCAAGGTCGCACAGTGTTTTATTATTTCTCACGTGATCTTTTGGATGTTTCGATAAAAATCTTATAAAAATCTCCAGATTGAGAGGAACTACTGTATGCAAGATTTTTTTTTCAGAATTATGCTCAATTACTACATGTATAATCGGGCAATTTTGGCTCAGTCAAATTTTTCGCCCTTTGCCAGTATTTGCCCTTCACATTTGACTACTTTGTTGAACATGTTGTTTACTAATGTTCGCTGTAATGATAAATTCGCCCTAATTACGGAGGGCAAAAAAAGCAAAAATTAAACTGCAGCAAATATATTCTGGTATACAGTATACATATTCAAAGTTAAATATGTGCTACATGTATTACCATTGTCTTGAAATTCATTTTAAACATGAATTTATTTTTTTATCATGTATGATCCCATAGAACTCAATTTACAAAATTCAAAATGTTTGTATTAAATTTAATTACATGGACATCGTGTGTTTTTGCAATAATGGCATCAAATCTTGGACACCAAGAAATTACCCCAGAAACGTTATCCTTTCCTGTTCAACTACTCACCAACAATGATTTCTGTTACAGGTGAAGGAGCCCGTGGAGAAGTACGACAGTGACGTCCCACTAAAGACAAGCCTGTACATTTTTCTTCACTTCTTTATTTTGATCGTCGCATCAGGAGTACTTACTAAATTCAAAGAGGTGATTAATTACTTTTTTAGATTCAGTGACTTTTATCTTTAAAGATCAGGAACTTATTTGTGAGACAATGAATTGGCAATATGACCATTGCAATATCTAGTGCTTGTTTATTTCCCTGTGAGATATTTTATCAAAATTAAATGATTTCAAATATTTATACAATATCTGTCTAATCTTTCATCTTAAAAGAAGAATAAACTCAGGAAAAACACTGATCCTCTTGAAAAAACTTGTATGGATTTTGGTAATCTTAATTTTTTTTCTTAAAATGAATATGTATATATGTGTACATGTATTATCAAAATATGATAAAAGACATGTTTTTCACATTAAAAAAGAACCCAGTAAGAAAACAAAATAAATTTGCATGATGCATATTTTCTAAATAATCAGAAATATAAACAGAAAAGTGAATATGATTAAGAATTTTTAAATTCCATTTATCTTATAAACACTTTATCATTGAACTGGTGAACTAAACAAGTACTCTGATGTATAACTCTTAACTCTTTCTGTGTGTGACATAAATCTTACAGAATATTGACATTATCCCACCATGGCCAGAACGATAACATTGCGACATCTATAAATGATCATTTTTACAGGGTATGTCACCTGTATGGACCATATCCTTTATCCTGTTCATGCTGTTCTCGCTGACGAGCTTTGGAGCTATTTATGATAACAAGTATGTATTGGGGGCTGAGTTTATTTTAATAATATTAAGCATGTCATTCCTGAATACCATTTCAAACACGTGAATGTTGTTTAAGAGTAAAACAGCGATTCTTATTGCTGCATTTTGTACCCGGTTGATCAAAAGCATACAGACAAGGTATCACATATTCTATCGAGCAACAATGTTATATGATACCTATGATATAATGAACCAGTAGTTTTAGACAATTGACATGTGTAAACAGGTGAGGTATCTATAACTCAGATTTGCTTGTGAAAATATTTGAAATTTAACATTGATTTTTTTTTTTAAATAATCCATTTCTCTGTGTTAGATTTGACTGTGAAAATATTATTTGAAATTTCACAATGAAATATATTTGATTTTCACTTCCATTTTAAGATATAAATAACAGAACTTTCATTTTTGTTCAATTTTCCCCAGGAGTTATGGACCTTTGATGGAGCTCTTTAGATGTGGTGTGTTTCTTGTGGTGGCAAAGTTCAGCACTCCAATGATGGGCTCCATGGTTACAGTGGGTTCTGTACTGAGCTGGTTTTATGTAGCATCTGCTTGTCTTTGGCTATACGAATGCGTGAGACACAATCTGCTGGTGAAGAAAGTGAAAACTTTGTAACCTGTCAGACTTATATCCTGCCGAAAGAAGTAAAAAGTCTGTGAGATATGTGACACAATTCTTGTTGAAGATAGTCAAAACTTGATAAACTAGTCAAAACTGAAGAAAGTGGAAACTTTATAGACCATTTCCACCAAAGAAAGTAGAAATAGATAACTGTATCAGGGATAATCCTGGAGGGGTCCATGGGGCCATTGACCCCTCAAAACTGAAATTGACCCATCCATGTTACATTTTAATTTTACAAAGAATGGCCCCTCTTAATATGATATTGACAAAAAATTGCTGAAAATGGCCCACTGCTCTAAAATTCCAGGATTTTCCCTGCTGTATGCAACCAAATCAAAGTACCCATTGCTAAAAGTTAATTTTCGCGTGTGAAATTAATGGTAGGCTTTACAGATAGGATTTTGATTAATAATGCCACTTACCATATCAGTGCTAAATCTACGTGCGAGTCCCATGTCCTGTACTCATAGAATTTTGATGGGACTCACAGAATTTCTGGAATTAGTTAAATTTAACATTGTGGGACTCGTTGTTTTTAGCAATACAGTTGAAAAGGACTCATTCAAATAAATTGTAAATGGATCACTGCCATATTTCATTACTCTGTTTAAATGTTCTCAGTCTTCCAATTGAAGGCTATTTACGGGTACAGCATTTCTTTACACATAGAGCCTTTTGTATTGCATCCTTTGTTTATCCTGTTTGGAGATGTACAGAGCAAGCTTATTAGGTCAACTACAGTGCCAAGGGCAAGCTTATTAGGTCAACTACAGTGCCAAGGGCAAGCTTATTAGGTCAACTACAGTGCCAAGGTATTTACCAAATAACTGGGCATTATGTGTACCAATTTCTTACAACCATTGATATTATTGAAGTGGCTTAATTGTATGGCAAGCAAACTTAACATTTAATTCCCAAAGAGTTCATCTATAACCGTGTAACCAAAGCATGGAAATATGTTGAAATATTTTAGAGATTTCTTTAAAAGATGTTTATGTTGTATGTAAACGAAGATATCTCTAAATTATTAGATATATTCATCTTAATTAGCATATTGAAAATGGTGTCATGAACTGGAAATTGATATCCTAAGTTTGCTCCAGCATCAAGGGTTGCTCTACCAACAATCTGATTAAAATCATCTGTTACATGGCTTCGTTAACTTCGTACTACGCCTGAGCCATGTAACAGATGATTTTAATCAGATTGCTTTACCAATGTCTTTATTAAATTTCTAAATGAAGCATAATAATGAAAAATATGAATGTTAACATTTGAAAAATTTGAATTTGATTCATCAGATGTACTTTTGTGATGATTGATGTAAATTGCGACTGACAATCTGGTGGAATGCCATTTTTATTCTCCTTCAACTAAATTGGTGACGTTGTTCTCAATACTCTACAGCACTTTATCTGTGTATTACACAACACAATGAACTCCTTTCCTCTGAAGTCTTTCTTCACCTCCTATAATGCCAGTATAAGACTTCTGAGAGGAGAAGTTGTTTGTGAATGTCGTATGCAGTTTCTATAGAGTATGGAAGTGTAATACACCTATTTAATTATGATATATATGGACTCAATTTAACAGATGGAGTCGAGAAAGAAGCATGTAACGGTAATTATATATGATTAATAATCATCTTCGCTGTGATTTTTTTGTGATAAATGTATATAGAAATTTACGCTTGTTATTATAACATTATATCATTTATAGTCGATAATTATGTCATAATTGCTTCAGTGATGATTAAGATGCCAACTGTGATATATATTTAATTATTTTGTTGATTAATAAAACAAATAGATAATGTAAAGGTCTGGTGTTTATCTTTCCTTATAAACATGTCTAGAAACTCATTCATTTTGACCCAATTTATAATCTCTAACAATTCCTGGTATTTAAAACCTTTTCTTTATTTGTTAATGTATTTCATACAAAGTGATGGATTCCTGCTTCTTGAATCTCTCTTCCGCCAAAATGCTTTACTAGTTTTATATTACTGGGAGATAATCCGACAATTCTGACTTTAAATAGGTGTTATTGAACTGTTAGAGCCACCGTCTTTTCCTCGCACGTAATGTTCAGGTTCTAGTACTCGGATGTAACTAGAGCAGGGCAGTGTACTTGATCCTTATCTTTATACGCCAGTACAGGCAGCTACACGTGTGGTATTCTAGGATGTAAATAGAGTTGTACCACAGAGCAGTGTACTTGATCCTTATCTTTATACGCCAGTACAGGCAGCTACATGTGTGGTATTCTAGGATGTAACTGGAAGTGTACCACAAGGCAGTGTACTTGATACTTATCTGTATACGCCAGTACAGGCAGCTACATGTGTGGTATTCTAGGATGTAGCTAGAGTTGTGCCATAGGGCAGTGTACTTGATTCTTATCTTTATACGCCAGTACAGGCAGATTCTAGAATGTAACTAGAGTTGTACCATAGGGCAGTGTTCTTGATCCTTATCTTGATACGCCAGTACAGGCAGCTACATGTGGTATTCTAGGATGTAACTAGAGTTGTACCATAGGGCAGTGTACTTGATCCTTATCTTGATACGCCAGTACAGGCAGCTACATGCGTGGTATTCTAGGATGTAACTAGAGTTGTACCACAGGGCAGTGTACTTGATACTTATCTGTATATGCCAGTACAGGCAGCTACATGTGTGGTATTTTAGGATGTAACTAGAGTTGTACCATAGGGCAGTGTAATTGATCCTTATCTTTATACGCCAGTACAGGCAGCTACATGTGTGGTATTCTAGGATGTAACTAGAGTTGTACCACAGGGCAGTGTAATTGATCCTTATCTTTATACGCCAGTATAGGCAGCTACATGCGTGGTATTCTAGGATATAACTAGAGTTGTACCACAGGGCAGTGTACTTGATACTTATCTGTATACGCCAGTACAGGCAGCTACATGTGTGGTATTTTAGAATGTAACTAGAGTTGTACCATAGGGCAGTGTACTTGATTCTTATCTGTATACGCCAGTACAGGCAGCTACACGTGTGGTATTCTAGGATGTAACTAGAGGTGTACCACAGGGCAGTGTACTAGATCCTTATCTTTATACGCCAGTACAGGCAGCTACACGTGTGGTATTCTAGGATGTAACTAGAGGTGTACCACAGGGCAGTGTACTTCATCCTTATCTTTATACGCCAGTACAGGCAGCTACACGTGTGGTATTCTAGGATGTAACTAGAGGTGTACCACAGGGCAGTGTACTTCATCCTTATCTTTATACGCCAGTACAGGCAGCTACACGTGTGGTATTCTAGGATGTAACTAGAGGTGTACCACAGGGCAGTGTACTTCATCCTTATCTTTATACGCCAGTACAGGCAGCTACATTTGTGGTATTCTAGGATGTAACTAGAGTTGTACCACAGGCCAGTGTAATTGATCCTTATCTTTATACGCCAGTTCAGGCAGCTACATGTGTGGTATTCTAGGATGTAACTGAAGGTATACCACAAGGCAGTGTACTTGATACTTATCTGTATACTCTAGTACAGGCAGCTACATGTGTGGTATTCTAGGATGTAACTAGAGGTGTACCACAGGGCAGTGTACTAGATCCTTATCTTTATACGCCAGTACAGGCAGCTACACGTGTGGTATTCTAGGATGGAACTAGAGTTGTACCACAGGGCAGTGTACTTGATACTTATCTGTATACTCTAGTACAGGCAGCTGCATGTGTGGTATTCTAGGATGTAACTAGAGTTGGACCACAGGGCAGTGTACTTGATCCTTATCTTTATACGCCAGTACAGGCAGCTACATTTGTGGTATTCTAGGATGTAACTAGAGTTGTACCACAGGGCAGTGTACTAGATCCTTATCTTTATACGCCAGTACAGGCAGCTACATTTGTGGTATTCTAGGATGTAACTAGAGTTGTACCATAGGGCAGTGTACTTGATTCTTATCTTTATACGCCAGTACAGGCAGCTACATTTGTGGTATTCTAGGATGTAACTAGAGTTGTACCACAGGCCAGTGTAATTGATCCTTATCTTTATACGCCAGTACAGGCAGCTACATGTGTGGTATTCTAGGATGTAACTGGAGGTATACCACAAGGCAGTGTACTTGATACTTATCTGTATACTCTAGTACAGGCAGCTACATGTGTGGTATTCTAGGATGTAACTAGAGTTGTACCATAGGGCAGTGTACTTGATTCTTATCTTTATACGCCAGTACAGGCAGCTACATGTGGGGTATTCTAGGATGTAACTAGAGTTGTACCACAGAGCAGTGTACTTGATCCTTATCTTTATACGCCAGTACAGGCAGCTACATGTAGTATTCTAGGATGTAACTAGAGTTGTACCACAGGGCAGTGGACTTGATCCTTATCTTTTTACGCCAGTACAGGCAGCTACATGTGTGGGATTCTAGGGTGTAACTAGAGTTGTACCACAGGGCAGTGTACTTCATCCTTATCTTTATACGCCAGTACAGGCAGCTACAGGTGTGGTATTCTAGGATGTAACTAGAGTTGTACCACAGGGCAGTGTACTTGATCCTTATCTTTTTACGCCAGTACAGGCAGCTACATGTGTGGTATTCTAGGTTGTAACTAGAGTTGTACCACAGGGCAGTGTACTTGATCCTTATCTTTATACGCCAGTACAGGCAGCTACACGTGTGGTATTCTAGGATGTTACTGGAGGTGTACCACAGGACAGTGTACTTGATACTTATCTGTATACTCTAGTACAGGCAGCTACATGTGTGGTATTTCAGGATGTAACTAGAGTTGTACCACAGGGCAGTGTACTTGATCCTTATCTTTATACGCCAGTACAGGCAGCTACATGTGTGGTATTCTAGGCACTGTGCGTTTAGCTTCAAAAGATGTATACTTGATGGTTCCCACAGGGTGGTGTATTAGGTTGTGCTGTTTTAAGACTTTGGTTGTTACCTACAGTATAACACAATATATTTCTGTAGGAGCCTTGGCGTTGTCCAATTCCACAAATTGGTAACTGTGACCAGTGGTCTTTCAACAACCTGCTGTACATCGTTTTAAAAGTCATATTTTTGAAGAAGCAACATTTTTCTTCAAAACTGAGCATAAATTGTAGATTTTTTTTTAAATTCAACATGTCATATGAATATTCGATGTTGATAAGTTGTTACCTCTGATTTGTTACAGATCGTCTATTCAGCGTTTTGGACGGCAAATTAAA